CTTAGCAGTTTTTAAATATGTATTATAGTATTATTAACCTCATTTGCCATGCTGTACATTCCATTTCATGACTTACTTATTTTATAACTGGGAGTTTGTGCCTTTTGACTTCCTTCACTCATTCCATCCATGCCCCACCCTCTAGGTCAAACAATTACCAATCTCTTTTCTGTATCTATGAGTTTGTTGTTGTTGTTTTAGATTCCACATATAAGTGAGATCATATGGTATCTGTTTTTCTCTCTCTGAATTATTTCACTTAGCATAATGCCTCAAGTCCACCCATGTCACAGATGGCAATAGTTCATTCTTTTTATGGTTGAATAATATTCCATTGGGTACATGCATTACATTTTCTTCATCCATTCATTCATCGATGGGCACCTAGGTTGTTTTCATATTCTGGTTATTGTAAATAATGCTACAATGAGCATATATTTTTTGAGTTATTGTTTTTGTTTTCTTCAGATAAATATCCAAAGGCAACTATAGTTGCAAAATAATAGTAGAGTATCATAACCAAGATACAGACAGTGACACAGTCAAGTCACAGAACATTTCCATCACTACAGGATCCCTCAGGTTGCCCTTGTATAGACACATCCCCTTTTTAAAAAATTGGGTTTGTTTGTTACTGAGTTATAAGAATTCTTTATACAATGTGAGGCAAAAGTAGGTTTATAGTTGTTTGTATAAAAATAATACAGTAATTAATAAAGAATAATACAAGAATAAACTCTTTCCCCTCACCTGATATATTCTGGAGCATATGGAGTTTTCCTTCCAGTCTGTTAATATAGTAAACTATGCTAATTAATTTTTTAAGTTTAAAAACTGTGGTAAATACACATAACAAAATTTACCATCATAATAATTTTTCAGTGTATAGTTCAGATGTATGAACTACATTCATATTGTGCTACTATCACCATCCATCGCCAGAACTGAAACTCAATACCCATTAATCAAGAACTCCCACTTTCTTCTTACCCCCCCGCCCCTGGCAAACACCGTTCTATTCTCTGAGTTTGATTACTCTAAGTGCTTTCTGTAAGTGGAATCATATAGTATTTGTCTTTTTGTGACTGGCTTTTTAGCATAATGTCCTCTAGGTTCATCGGTGTTGTAGTATGGATCTCTTATGCTTTTAGGCTCAATAATATTTCATTGTATGAATATTCCACATCTTGTTTATCCATTCATCATGGACACTCGAGTTGCTTCCACCTTTTGGTTTTTATGAATAACGTTGCTGTGAACATGGTGCACTCTTATCTTTCTGGATCCCACTGCAGTTTTTTGGACTTATTACTAGAAGTGGAAATGATATCCACTGGATCATATTGTATCTAGTTCCTCCTTTTACTCTACCCCTGCTTTGCTCTTCTCTAAGCCCTGAATCTCTCAGTATCTTTTCCACTTAGAGATTTAAGTTTTAAAAGTTCTCATACATCTATTGCTTTAAATTATATAGCAAGTTCTCAGTTAAGAAGATTGTTTAGCGAGCAGAGTATAGCAGTCACTTAATTTCCTGACCAGGTGTCCAGAAACCCTTTTGTTTCAGTCCTTGCTATTGTTGAAGTGTATTAGTTCCTTTTCATCCTCTTAGTACAGTAGAGTGGACATAATAGAATCTCTCTGTTAATTTAGGATCTTGCGATGCTTTAGGGATATTGTGAACAGAGGGGCGAAATTGCTGGAGATCAGAGCAATGTACCAACCCCTCTGAACTCTTTACAAAACTAAATCCTTGATGAGTTTGTTTTATTTTATTACTTAGGTGTTTATAAGCAAATCAAACAATATCTATATAGTTTATAAAAGCCTAAGCAACCATCTGACCATTTGACCATCTAACCACTAGCTATGATCACACTGACCACAAGGAGGCAGACGCTCAATGCTGGAGCTGCCAAGCTGCGGTGAGTAGGCAGCTGCAGTTCTTGGGTGATGCACCTGGAACCGAGAAAGAGGGAGCCCGAGAACCAGTCCCTTGCAATCCAGGAACCCTCAGGGAATGTTGGAGAGCCGGTTTCAGCCCAATTCCCAAGGCCAGGCCGAGGGACCCCACTGGTGCATGAATCTGTGCCCAGGGCCTTTATAGAATAATACTTGAAAGATGTTTACTGAACTTTGTTTCTCATTTGGCCATATTTACCAATTTTCTTCTTTGTCTCCTCTTTGCATCTGTATCCCATAAGGCCAGAGAGCAGGCTGTCTCCCCAGCTCTGAGTAAGCCCCGTCAATAGGTATAACTTGTGGAAGGAAATGAGTCTGAAATGCAGTATTCATTTTCCTCTCCCACCTACTCTTCTTTCTTTACTGCACTTCAAGGAAAAAAATAGAGCTTTGAGGAAAGAGGATTAGAGAAAGAAAGAGGTAGAAGAATCAAGAAGAGAAAAGCCAAGACATTAATTATGAAGAAGCACAAAGGCTGTGGTGAGGGGGTTAAGAGAGATGAGGTGAGGGTAGTTAGAGATGTTCCAAAGTCAGACTTCACGATTGCTTCTGTCTTTGGACCAAGTAGAACCCTGACCTCTCAGGGTCCGGGATCAGTTGTCAGGAACCTCCTAAGGCTGGGACAAGTAGGTCACTAAACCAGAGGTCACTGGGCTGGAATGGACTTAATTAGCATTCTGCAGCCAGCATTTCCAGAATGCCTGCCACGCACAGCTTCCTGAACTCCATAATCGCTGTTCCACAAGAACAGGAAGGACGAAACCTCCTCCGGGCGTTCACTACACTCTGGGCAGAGGGAGTAGTCCCCAAGCTCTCCAGGTCCCTTCTCTGCCCCCCGCCGGGAAATGTCCTCTCACCCTGGGCTGGCGAGGGCAGAGTCCACCTTTTCCCTTCAGCTGATGAGCTCCTTTGTGAAACTTGGAGACAGAGGTCCCACCATGTCAACTGTTAGCTCTTACCTGATCTGACTTTACCTGACAAGCAGGGAATAGAGAGATGAAGATACCTGGTATATTTTAAACATAGTTTCCCAATCATGTATGGCAGGTTCTTCTCACTTGTATTTTTAATCAACCCATAGGGTTTGCATGATATATGTCCAGGCTTGGAAGTGACCTGGGAATAGAAAGGCTTAACATTTTCAACGTACCTTTTCCATGTGTTACTCCAGAATGAGGTTGAATATATGTTAATGTAATTTAGTTACAAAGAATTTAGTTACAAAGAATAAAATAAGCCTACTTTCATTTATTTAATTTTTTTTTACAGAAGTTAAGAAACAGAAGTAAAAAATATAGGCAGGCTCCATTGATCTATTAGATTACTGATGTTGCACTGTTTTCTGGCTTAGTTTGCTGCTCACATCTCTGAGCTGTAATTGCTATTCTGCTTAATTACCTTCTTTCAGCAATCTAAGGTAGTTTGTGATCTAAATGCGATTCCTATCCCAGACTCTTCAGTCTGACCAAGAAATAAAACAGAAAGCAGCGTCAGTCAGACACAGGGAGTGGCTTACCTGCGTCAGGAGGGGTCACACACCAGAGGTTTTCCGGGGGGGGGGGGGGGAGAGGGGGGCTGTGCCTCCAGGGGGTAGGTGACTGCATGGAGACATTTGACTATCCAGCCTGGCGAGGAGGTGCCGATGGTCTCTAGTGGGTAGAGGCCATGGGTGCACAGGACAGCCCCACAGAGTGAAAAGCCGATAGCACTGAGGTGCAAAGCCTGTCGTAAATACGTGCAGGAGGTGTGGACTGACCGATAAACCAGCCCCAGTAGGAAAAACCCAAGAGGGTGCCCATAATTGTGGCTACTGCCTCTGGGTTTTTCTGTTTTGTTTTTTTTTTCTCCCAGATTTCTATTTTGAAATCATTTTAGACTCATAGCCTGGGTGATTTTCATCTCTAGCTAGTTTCCTTAGCACTTGCTAAATATTGAATGAAATCAAAGGGAAGGATGAAGACACACCAGGAACAGATCCGTTTAGGCTTCCCTCCCATGAGGCGCACGGAGGGGGGCAACAGGGGGAGGATGCGGAGATGGGCTTCTTGGTTTCCTAGAAACCCCAACAGGTTGCCTGCCCCCTGCGCCAGCCTGTTCCTTGGCTTCTACTTGCTGAGGTTGCTTAGTGCCAGTGGAGTTGGTGTCCTTGAGAACATCTCCCACTTAGGACACTGATGAGCTTTGGTCTTGTAGGTTTCACATCCTACACCTACCCCAGCCATTGGGGTGGCCAGCACAGTCCTATAAGCCCTCACTTTTAAATATGTATGTATGTATGAATGTATGTATATATGTATATTCTGATTAAAACACAGAAACCTAACTTCAGAGTCTTCTGTAATCCTGATAACAAATTGGTGTATATTCCCCAGTTTGAAAATATATATATTAACATCTAGTTATTAAATATAACAGTGGGATTTTAATTTTATCGTATATACTTTTTTACAACTTGTGTTTTTACTATACAATGTCTTGGACATTCTTCATTCTATCTGATATGAAGAATAAATCATTTAAAGCTGTCCATGAAATAAATATTATAATATCCACCCACCTATTTCAGAGGCATTATAAGGACTCAAATATAAGATGTGTAAAGTGTGTTGTTGTTTTTTTAATTAAAAAATATTTTATTGATTTTTTTACAGAGAGGAAGGGAGAGGGAGAGAGAGTTAGAAACATTGATGAGAGAGAAACATCAATCAGCTGCCTCTTACACCCCCCACACACACACACACACACACGCACACACTGGGGACATGCCCACAACCAAGGTACATGCCCTTTGCTGGAATTGAACCTGGGATCCTTAAGTTTGCAGGCCGACGCTCTATCCACTGAGCCAAACCGGTCAGGGTTGTGCTGAGATTTTTTAGATGAAAATATCATGATGTTGTGTATCATGGTCTGTTTTTAATTGATTATAACAATGTGGAATGACTCATTAAGATCATAGTCCTTGGGAAGAAGCCATCGTGGCTGCATTACTGCAGTTTGTGTAGTAACCTCAGGTTTCTGCTGCCCTTTTGTTCCCACAGGCAAGTATGTGTATCAGCCGATGACCCCCGTGGAGCAGCTCCCCAGCACCGAGATCCCTGTGAAGCCCCGGGAGCCCACGAACACCATTCAGATCTCAGTCTCTCTCACCGAACACTTTCTGAAATTTGCATCTGTCTTCCAGCCTCCCCTCCCGCCTGATTCGCCAAGGTACTGTATGATCTCAGACCTCTTTATTGACAACTATCAGGTTAAATGTATTAATGGGAAGATGTGTTATGTGCAGAAGCAGCCGGCACCACATTCCCACAAAATGAGCCCTCAGGAGGTCTCTGCACACGATGCCTTAATTTCAAAAGAGAGCAATACACCAAAAATAGATCACTGCTCTTCTCCCTCAAGTTCTGAGGACTCTGGGATCAATGCCGTCGGGGCGCACTACGTGGAATCGTGTGATGAGGACACGGAGGAAGGCGCAGAACTGAGCTCAGAGGAAGACTACAGTCCGGAGAGCAGCTGGGAGCCGGACGACTGCACCCTCCTCTCCCCGTCGCAGTCGGATCTGGAGGTGATCGAGACGATAGAAACCACCGTGTGAGTCGGGCAGGAAGCCGCGTCCTCTGTCCAGGCTGCGCTCTGTACTTTGGTTGGACGGACCCTTTTGCCGGTGCAGTTGGTATTTTCTACCCCTAACAACTGTCGCAGTTCAGTGGTCTGCTGATTAGCTAAACTCTTAAATTAGTCTTATAACTAAGGTATTTCTTTTCTTTTGTATCTTGACTTACTTTCTATGTAGCATCTGGTGTCACGAATGGTGACCCAGCCTTAATTTCACCGGGAACTTTGTAAGCGACGATGGGCTGATCACAGAGGATCACGGACCAGGTCGAGAGCTACCCGGAGTGGAGGCGACAGTGTTTTCTAAATCCCCAATTCTTCAAGAGAAACTGTTGGCATTCCTTTGGCATGCCGGCAGGCACCCCCACTGCCTTGCAAGTCCCGTGTGGGAATCTGCTCTCATGAGGGGAAAAGACCAGGTCCTGGCAGATGTGATTCTGTCCCTTTCCTCTCCCTCCACTTGCATAGGCAGGGCCAGTGCCTGGCTGACTTCCTGGAGGGCACCGGAGGCCAGTTCAGCCCTCGCTGTGATTAGGGTCTGCACAGCCCTCCATGCTCTGGGGCTGAGCTAGGCCTTCATTAAGTGGAGATGACATCTTCAACTTCATGCTCAACCCAGCGTTAGCTGAGTGCCTACACTCTGCAGGGTGCTGTGGGGACGCAGAAGGAATAAGACCTAACTCTCCACACGAAGGGAACCACAGTCCAATAGTGGAGATAACACATGCAAGGTAACATTACCCAGAATCCTCTGGGAACGCAGGGGAAGGAGAGATGTACTTGGCTTGTAGCTGGGGAATGTGTTGTAGCATTTGAGATGGTCTCTCGGGTGGGTTTCCCCAACATTTCCCTGCTTTTCTTAATTGTTCTTCAAATCTGGGAAAAAACTTTTAGGGAGTTATATAGGTTTTATATTTAGGAAGCAGCCACATCTGATGTCTTAAGAAACTATCAGTAATAGTTTTAGTTAGCATGGAAATGCTAAAGACAGCAGTCCGTTAGGGATTAGGAATGAATCTAATAGGTTTGACGAATTCTGCTTCATTTGGTTGTATGAAGCATTAGAATGGCTTAGGTGGGAAACGGTTAGAACTCATTATGATGCATGAGTTTTTATGCAAATGCAAACGCAGTTGAAGTAGTTCACTGCTAAGTCAGGAGAAAATATTTTGTGTGATATTCATTGGCTTTACTACAGTAATATTAATGGCCTGTTGTACGTGTTCTCTTTTCTCTCACGCAAAATAGTGAATAACTTTTTCTTATTTAGCTTTCTTCAGAATTCTCCTCCCATCTCCATTTATACCAGCTGTCCTTGTGCGAGTTGCTTATCTGCCATTGCTCCAAAGCTTCTCTCGGGGAGATTTAACATTCAGCCTAGTGAAACCAGATCTATCCCAGTTGGAGATGGAAAACTCTGTCTGATGTCCTAACTATCCGGGGTGCCCTGGTGGCATTGCCTCCTGCTCTGCCAGCATTGTGGCACCATTCTTCTGCGTTACGTTAGTCTGTGTCTTAGGAAACGAGAAGAGCCTGTTGTGCTCTCTCCGAAGCCTCCACTGGGCTTCCTTCACAATCATTAGGCAGAATCCGCTCTCCTAGCTGTGTGTGTAGTCTACGTGATTGGCTAGAACCCTCGCTAGGTTTAGGTGCCCAAACATCCCTGGGTGTACAGTGTGCAGGTTCCTTTAAGAGCAGTGTTAGCTGAAGCTCTCTAAGCTAGATGAGAATACAGCATAAGGTTCCCCCTTCCTGAAACGTAAGGACTCACCAAGTGAGAGGAGCACCAGGAACAGGGTATCCCTCTCACCCCAAGCCTGGCCAGCCCAGCCCAGCCCGGGTGGCTCAGGGACAGACATCTGCTGAGCCTCCTGGGGTTCATGGTGCCTCCATGACTGAGCGGCCAGATGAAGGCGAGCTTAGCAGCTGTGCCGTCAGCAGTTGTGCACTCAAGTTGGTAACAGCAACATAGCACCCTGACTCCCCCTTTCCCCCCACTGCTGTGGGTCCGCTCATTGACTTCCCCAGCATGCATATGAGGGGTCTTCTTTCTTGGCACGGTTCCTACCACTTCCCCACTCTGGGCCCTCATTCCTCATTCCCGTCCATTAAACTAATTGAAGTCAACCACCAGGTCTTTCCAGCCATGGAAATACATGGTCACAGGGCCGTTCCCGAGGCCGGCTGATCTGCATTGGGCGCTTTATCAATAATATCTATAACTTTTAAAACTCTTGAACTGCCATTCGAGTAGCCACGATTTTAATGAAAATTTTGGATTTAATAATGGTTGGTATCACTTTAAATATTTACACAATCTCTTTATAATTAAAAACGCACTAAGCTTCGCTTACTACTATCTGTTTTATAGAATTGGAGATGTTCCATTGGATTCTAAATATTAAGATGCCCCTGGATCTCAAAAGAACCTTTTCTAAACAAGCACAAGCAAGGATTTCTTTTTCCTAGCACTGTTAATATTAGTAATTCTCCGGAGAGTCATATAGGATCGAATCAGAATTGTTTCTGCTTGCATTCCAAAAACGACTGAGAAGGACATAAAAATGTGTAGTTTCGACTTGAATTCTAGGCCTGTTCTGTTCTGTGTTATATAAAAGAATTTATCTGTAATCCTGATATTATACTGCTCTTTTGTATAAGCATATTTACAGTCACTTTAGAAAATACTTAGCTGCAACGTGTATTATAGACATTGGAAACTCATGTTTCAGCTTTTGGTTACTGCGTGTGTACTGAGAGAGACGGACGCTCTGTAATCGGGCCGGCGGCGCGCTCACCTGGAGCTGAGGGCTGTGTGTGTAGATGGAGAAACTGCCCTCCAGGGCTTGTGTAGAGAGAAGCCTGGCCCCGTGCCCACGTTTTGAAAGTCGGTGTAAAAGCTGTTTGGAGGAAGATACAAAATCAGTGCTCTGTGGAGTACAGCTTTCTTATCACACCAAGACTTATTTTAGAGTTTTCAAATATGCTCATAACTTTCTGAGAAATGACAAAGCAATTAAAAAAATGTTTGTGGTTGTAGTTAGTTGGTACATTAGCAAATACAGCTTTACCATCAAATCTAGACTTTTTTTTTTTCCTTGTAATTTTCAAGCTTTGAAAAGAGATTTTGAGTGAAACCCTGAAGAAAACAAAACAAAACACGTTGCTTTCTTGGAAAGGAAAAACGTATAGTTCAAGGTAATACTATACAAAATGTAAGTACTAAGACCAGGACCAAACCATGCGGTTGTCCTGAAGTACCTTTTGGATTTGATTCTGCTTGCGAGGAGGGGTTTTATTTCTTAATCTCCACTTCCTGGCCTTTTTGAAACATCACAGTTCTTTTAGAATTGATCATAACTCCTTTGTATGCAAATTTATTTATTTGGGTAAGAGGATGCAACCAAATAATTTAGAAAGCTGTCAAAATTTCCAGATATACTTGGCAGTATAAGTACCATGAGGCAAGAAAAAAAAGCATATTTTATACAGTCAGCTCTTGATTATTCCATCTTGTTTGCAAAATTTTATTGAAACAGTTCGGCTTTCTGCAAGAGAGATACACAGTTATATCAGCCTTCTTTCCTACTCTCCTCTCCAGAGGAGCTGTGAACCAAAATTAAGGACCAATTGTATTTGAAGCTTTTTGGAAAGTAGCATGTGATTCGTGTCTTGCCCTTGAGGAGGAGGGGAAAAGGGCATGGGAGTTCTCACTTTATCACTTCTGTGCTTCAAGGAAGTCAGCATTTCTCACATCCAAGCATAAGTACAAGGACACATCTCAAAATTAATTTTGGAATTTTAAAAATCTTGTATATCGCGGCTCCTTTCATTATTATGGATAATTGGCAGCTGACTGTATAGGAAAGGGCCATGTTTCGATCAGTGCTTTGGGTCCCTTTTTCTATTCAGATGGACGCAGCATGCTCTGAATATTCCGAACAAGTCTGAAGGCAGATCATCACTGGAGGTTTAATATTGAGCTTGCATATCATTGTGTTTATACACACTTTTTTAGGCTGTTCATACCTTACAATATTCACTTACTGTGCTATTTTTTTAAAATCTCTCTATTTTAAAGTTTCAAGCACAATGTTGACCATTCTGTAATTTCCTAAAATTATATTGTTTTCTTACAAACAACTCAACTTTCCTTTATGTACAATACTTTAGGAGAATAACTACCTTGTAAAATAAATGTAACTTCTTTTTGTACCAGCACACGTTTGATATTTTGGAGTTTGGAATATTCTTTCCCTCTGTCCCCCACTTTCCAGAGGTTCTGCTTTAAATAATACCACAGTGAACTAAACAAAACAAAACTCGCCTTTATGAAATGTCAGACGTTTCTATTGCGTGCTCACGTTGTGCCAGGAAATAAGCAATTTACATCATTATCCCATTTAAATGTTTCCCAGGCTTCATGAGGCGCAGGTAAATGTCCCCGAACACACGGCCAGGGGCGCCGGAGAGCCTCTGCAGTGAGAACTTGCTTGTTGGCTGCATTAGGTTCATACAGATGACACTCACATTCTCCCACAAGCAGGACATCTTTCCCACAAAGCCTCACGCCTGGTGTCCATTTCACACGTGCCACGTACGCAGTTCACCCCCAGGTCCTGGGGCGCAGCCTCTTGGTCACCAGGGCTCACAGCCCAAACCTCAGGCTGGCAAACCCAGGAGCTCAGCTTTTACACTCAGCACCCAGAAAAGGACGACTCTGGGGTTGACTTTTATTGCATAACCTCACTGAGATTGCTAAGTAAATCCTTTTGTTAGTGATAGTAACATCATTGTTAGTATTAATAATTACTAGAGGCCCGGTGCACGAAATTTGTGCACAAGGTTGGGGGGTCCTCCCTCAGCCCAGCCTGCACCCTGTCCAATCTGTGACATCCCTCTCACAATCCAGAACCACTGGCTCCTAATTGCTCGCCTGCCTGCCTGCCTGATCTCTCCTAACTGTCCCCTCCTACCCCC